TATATATATATATGTATAATATATATATATATATATATATATATATGATATATATATATATGATATATATATATATGTGTGTATGTGTGTGTGTGTGTGTGTGTGTGTGTGTAGCGAGCGAGAGAAGGAGTTTCCTCAGTCCCGTCTAGTAATTGATAGTATTTCGTGAGATATCAGTATTGCGCCTCGCAGCTTTCTGTCTTTCAAGTTAATCGCTGCACTTTCGGTTTTTCGAAACGGATCGAGGGTAAACGTCGAGGAAGGCCAAGAGAAATATCACATGAGAGATATAAACTGAGGCGTGTGTGTATGCATTGTACATAGACTAGTTATATTTAAAAATGTAACGCGGCAGGAAAGTATCAAGGAAATTGCAAAGAGCGTGTCATTCATTATGCCGGCGACTCAGCAATGAGACGAGGGGAATTTTTTTTCTAAAATTCAATCGAAGCGTACTAATATATTTTATAATCTTGTAAATGATCTGGGGGATAATGATGCAACGACTCTGCATCATACAAGAGAGATCTGTAGTTTATGTGTAAATTATAAATTATAAACGTTATAAATTGTAAATTATAAATTATGTACATTGTACGTTTGGTGATTGTAATTTTTGCATTGCTTTTAAAAGTAGTAAAAAGTCATGCGTAAACGTGCGGCGCGCGCATTCCTTTTAACGAATAAATACGTAAATATAAAACATATGTAAACATCTCTGCAATATGCTACAAATTTATTTATACAATACTATTTGATCGCGCGATTGTTGAATGACGCGTTAAACGACAGCGTCATTTATTTTATTTGCTCGCGTTAAATATCGAAGCATATATTATTTTTTCAGGCGAGAAGTATTATTGCTTCGATTGTAACTGAATTGTAAAAAAAAAAATTGTCATTGGCAATTGTGAGGTGAGTCATATCGATTTCTGTAATAGAGAAGAGTGCCGTCATTGTTGCGAGTTGTTCGGCAAAAATGGACTTGGTTTTTCGAGCCACCTTCCGTCCGTCCCGAAAATCAAAAGGTAACAAGGAGGAACAAAGTTAAGCGAAGAAAGTTAAACGAATATTGTAAAGCAGCACAAGGAGCGATCGCTTAGGTACTTATTGTGGTACTTATGAAAACGTCGTTTATTCAATGTACTTAAATATTAACACACGTAGATCGTTGTTAGCGAGATCGTTGCTAATCGACACACATTGTCGACGTCTTCTTTATCGTCTTTTTAACTTTTTTCGTTTCTTTTTTATTTTCTTCGGACTGATATTTCTTCCGTTTTTCCGTTTATTTCCCGAGAAGGTATGGAAAAGAATATGTACATAACGTAGCATAGCGATTTGTTATAACATTATTATCGTTTACATATTACTTATTGTTTCCTTTTACGTTTCTTAGTCGATGTACACTAATTTTACACGGTTCATTTGACTAGGATCGAGGGGGAGCGATAGCGATGTCTTGATTGATCTCTACGTTTATAACGTTTATTAATTCATTCGGGCATTAGGATTTTTCTTTGTAACTTTTGTAACGGATGCTATTCGAGGGATCTTTTCTGTTAGACTTCCTTTTCTCCCGCCCGAGAAGCGTAGGGATTAGTCAAGATGCGTTCCGAGAGAGTCTCGTCTGAAATAGGCGAGTGCATTTAGAGAAGTGGATAACAGTGGCATATATATATATAGTATATGGTATATATATA